GTATATATATACTTTTTCATCCTCTTTCCCATTACAGTTTATATTGAATATAGTTCTGTGTGCTATACAGTAGGACCTTGTTGTTTATCAAGGACACAATTTTATTACTGTTTGTGAGCTCAATACTATGTGTGCTGCCTCTTATAGCCAAATTTACTTCTCTGCAGGTGTATGCTAAATTAATCCTTTGTACCAACAAATGACGTGTAAATCTGCTTAAAGACAGTGTTGATATTATCTGGCTTTGAAACAAATGGGACAATTCGCAATACTTTTCCCCATTCGAAGAAATAAATCCATTTGAGTTTATTTTTAAAATCATAAAAACAACAGTAAGTTTTAGAAAAGAATTATTAGATAAAATATGTTGGAATAAACACCACTGGCCAAGAAGAAAATTAGATTTTCCTGAAGACTGAACATGGAAGATTTTCAACACACTAGCTGTTTTCTCCTTGAAGAATTAAACATTGGAACAAATATTTTTGCTGAGTACTTGGAGGAAAGAGCTTTACTTTGCAAAATGGTTTAAAAAAAAAACCCCTTTATCTTAGAGAATAAACTGTGGAAAATTGTTGGATATTAATCTAGCAATGAAAATAACTGCACCTACATGAGAAACCCAATTTTAATTACCTGTTTTGATCATTGGTAAAACAAATAGAAAGTTTCCTTCTTTTTTTACTTAGCAACACTGGTGTCATAAGTGATGGCAGAAATATAATTAGAAATATTAATCTTTTAAAATGGATATGTGAGAATAAATACAGTTAAATTAAGCACTTAGATGACTTGGACTAAAATTTATTTTGGAATTAAGAAACAGTTTCAGTTTGTTTTTGGTAAGCAAAACAAAGATAAGCTAAGCTTAAAGAAAGGGACAAAATTTCATATACACTAGGTGTAAATTTTAAAAAGATATCAAAATAAGATGGTAAAAAAATAATGCTTGTATTTTCTTCTCTGATTTTTTTATATAGTGTTTTTCTCATCAAGAGGGACAGCAGAATTAAATTAGAAATGCACAAAAGTGAAACATCTAGATTAGCTCCAAATATGTCTAAATCAAACAAGTCACTTCCTATGAGTCAGCTCATGAGTTAAAGAAGAAATTACAAAGCAAACTGGGAAACATTTTGAGCTGAGTTATTATAATGAAAACCCAACATTACGCTGCTAAGATAATATTACAGGGAAATTTATAGCACTAAATGCTTATGTAAGAAAAGAGGAAAGTCTCTAAGTCTACATAGAGGAACTAGAATAAGAAGAGAAAATCCATCCCAAAATGAACAGAAGGAAAAAAATAATAATGACAAAAGTAGAAACCAATGGAATAGAAAACAAAAAGAAAAGTAAAACAAACAAACAAATGAAAAGGAAAAAAAAGAAAGAAAAATCAATGAAACAAAAACTGGTTCTTTGAAAAGAACACTAGCCAGATTGACTAAGGAAAATTAAAGGGAATAGAAGTTACAAGTTGCCAATATCAGGAATGATGAGGGGAAACCACTAGAGGTCCTACAGACGTTAAAAGGAAAATGAGAGAAAATTATGCCAAAACATGTAACAACTTAGATGATTCTTGAAAGATGATTCCTTGAAAGACAGACTACCAAACCCCATTCAAGTAGAAATAGATAATATGAATAGCCTTATATCTAAGAATGCAATGGAATTGTTAAAAACCTTCCTACAAAAACAAAAAGCACCCCCCCCAAAAAAAAAGCCCCAAAACTCCAGGCTCAGATGACTTCACTGGTGAATTGTACCATATATTTAAGTTAGAAACAATACCCATTCTACACAAACTCTTCCAGAAAATAGAGAAGATGGGTGAATACTTCCATCTAATTTTAAAGAGCTAGCATCCTCCTGACACCAAAATGAGAACAAAATTGTAAGAAAAGAAAACTACGGATCAATATTTCCCATCATGTATGCAAAAGTCACTAACAAAATTTTAGGAAGTTGAATCCCACAATATATAAAAAGGCTAATCATCATGACTAAGTGTGCTTCTTGCCCAGAATGCAATTTTGGTTTAAAATTCAGAAACAAAAATTAACCGAGTCGCCACTTCAATGGGCAAAAAGGGGAAATCATTTAATCCTCTTCATAGACACAGAAAACACATTTGACAAAACTGAATACACATTCATGTCAGAAATTGTTAAGAAAACTAGGAAAAAGAGAACATTCTCAACTTAATAAAGGCATCTATAAAAACCCTGCAGCTAACATCAGACTTAATGGTGAAAGACTGAATGTTTTCTCCTTAAGATCAAGCTAGGGTCTATCAACGAGGCAAGGCTTTACCTTTTACTTTCACCACTTCTATTCAGTCTTGCACTGGCAGTCGTAGTCTACGCAGTAAGAAAGAAAAAGAAAAAGAAATAAAAGGCAAAACTAGGCAGTAAACAGTTTAACCTTGCCTTCAAAGAGGTCTGGCCTTTGCCCTCAGCTTCTGAGAGGTAACCTCTATGCTCTCAAAAATTTATGCTTGAGAGGAAGGAGTATCTTTGGTTTTGGGGGGTGGGAGTGGCTCACACCAGAAAGACCCAACAGAGTGATTCAGGATGGGGTGTTTGGTCACATCATCTCAGTCATCCTGGAGACTGAGATCTATTAAGTGGTCAATCAAACAATCATACCTATGTTACGGAATGCACCCTCCACCCCCCGCCAAAAAAAAAACCCCAAAACCCACAACTGAACACTGAGGCTTGAGTGAGCTTCCCTGGTAGCAGCATACTGTTACACATCAGTACTAGGAAAGTAATCCATCCTGCCTCTGCAGAAGAGAATAATGGGAGCCCTGTGTCTGGCACTTCCCCAGACTCCAATTTATGCACTTTTGCCCCTGGCTGATTGTAATCTGTATCTTCTCCCTGTGATAAATTGTACCCATGAGTATAATAGCTTTCAGAGTTTGGTGTGTCCTTCTAAGTGAATTATTGAACCTATGGGTGGATAGGAACCACCCGAATCTGTAGTTTGTGTCAGAAGTGAGAGTGATCTCTTGCAGGGACTATTCCCTGTAACTTTGTAGCTGGTTAAACTTTTGAGCATACAGATTAGAAAGAAAGAAGTAAAACTGTCTTTATTCGCAGATAACATGATAATTTTTTCGAAAATCATCACACAAAACGCTACTAAACTGGTAAGGGGGTTTACCAAGATCTCAATACAGACTGCATTTCAAGACTTGTTGTATATGTATACATGTAGCTCCATGAAACAGTAGGAGGTACAGAAATAGATTCTCACAGATGAACAACTGATATTTCAACAAAGGTGCCAAGTAATTCAATGGGGAAAAAATAGTCTTTTGAACAAATGGCACAGAAACAAGTGGATATTCACATGCAAAAATGAACCTTGGCCCTTACCTCACACCAGATACAAAAATTACCTTAAAACTAATCATAAACCAAAATGTAAAACTATGAAACTTGTAGAAGAAAACATAGGAGAAAATCTTGTGACTCCGGATAAAGCAAAGATTTAGACAGGACACAAAGACCACAAACTATAAAATATTTAGAAGTTGGATTTCATCAAAATTAAAAACGTTTGCTCTTTGAACATCACTATTAAGAAAATAACAAGCCAAACCATAAACTGGGAGAAAATATTTTCAGGACACTTATCTGATAAATGATTTTGTATCCAGAATGTGTAAGGAACTTTTACAACTTGATAATAGGACAGACAGCTCAGTAATAAATGGATAGAAATTTTAAGAGACACTTTACCAAAAAAGGGATACAGATGGCAAATAAGCAGTGAAAAGATGCTCAATATCACTAGTCATGAGGAAATGCTAATTAAAACCTCAGTGAGATACTTCTTACTGACACAGTTAACCAAAATGGCTAAAAACAAATAAACAAATCTCAAGCACATGCTGGCAACCACACTGCTCAGCTGGAACTCCCATGCTATGCTGGTGGGAATGCAAAATGGAAATGGTACAGCCCCTTTGAAAAACAGCTCAGCAGTTTCTTATAAAGCTAAACATACACTTGCCATACGACTCAGTAACTCCATTTGTGAAAACAAATGTCCCAACAAAGACCTGTGTGTGAATTCCTATAGAAGACTTATTATTAATAGCCCCAAACAGGAAATAACCCAGTGTTCACCAACTTGTGAATGGATGAATTATGCATGGGACATCCATACACTGGAATGCCTCTCAGCAATTAAAAAAACAAAAACAAAACAAACCCAAAATACTGATACATGTAAGAACGTGGATTTTTTTCAAATGCATTATGCTAAGTGAAAGAAGCCAGATTCAAAAGGTTACATTCTGTATGAGTATATTTATATGATTTTCTGGAAACAGAGCGACAGAAAGTAGATCAAGGTTGCCAGAGCGTGGGAGTGAGGGTAGAATTGACTACAAGGCACATGAAGAAACTATTTGGGGTTTTGGAACTGTTTTGTAGTGAATGTTCTTGTGGTGTCATAACTCTTCAAACTGGACACCTAAAAAACAGTCAGTTTTACTTTATATAATTTATACCTCAATAAACTTGACTTAAAAACAAAACCCAAACCCTGTGAAAAGACATTTGCAACATGCGTGACTGATAAAGGATTAGTGTCTCAACTCTAGAATATGAAAGAATTCTTATGAACTAATAAGAAAAATTCAAGTCACTTAGTAGAAATAGGTGCAAAAGAACGAACAGAAATTCCCCAAATAAGATGAATAAAAAATTAACAAACATAAAACTGCTTAATCTCATTTAGGAATCAAGGAACAGCCAATTAAACCTTCAGTTGGATATTATTTCCTATCCATCAGATTGGCTCAAAATGAAAAACTAGACCATTTTGAAAGTCAGTTAATGTGGAGCAATGGAAACTTTCATCCACTTCTTGTGGGGCTGTAATTTGGTAGAACTATTTTGGAAAACAGTTTGGTATTATTTAGTAAAGTTAAATAGTGTATACTTCCTGATCCTGAAATTCCACTTCTAAGCACATAATACCCTTCTGACATTCTGCCACGTGTGTAACAGGAGATAGTATAAGAAAGCTTGTAAAAAAGAAAAAATACAACCCCCAGTATTCATCAAAAGTAGAATAGATACATAAGTTACTTTATAGCTTTACAATGTTATATTCTTCCACAATTCAAATAAATGAACTATAGGCACAGGCATTAAAGTGAACGAATGTCAAAAACATTCATCTGCATGAAAAGAAACCACAGAAGTACACACAAAATTTGTGTAGACAAGGTTCAAAAGCCTCTCTCTCATAGGCTGTAGAGCATGATCATTTATAAACATGTAGCTGGAGACAAGTTGCCTGTATTTACATTCTAGCTCCCCAGTTCCTAGCTGTGTAGCCTTCAACTCCTTGCACCACAATTTTCTCACTTGTACAGCGAGGGTGCAAGCACTTATTAAGAGATGCTAACATGCTGGCGTAGCACATGAAGAGATCATAAATGTTAGGCATTATTATTATTCCCTAGCCCACTAGGTGGAAACTCAGTGGGGCCAGGATGGCATACAGGGGGGGGGGGAACCCGTATGTGCCATTGAGCACACGGGGCAGCAGTTAAGACAATGCACAATGACAATGGCTCTGAGTGCAGAAATCTACAGCTGGCATCATGGAGGAGTGTGAGCCACCAGGACTCAGGACCTACAGAAAAGGAAAGGGAACTGGGATTTCTGGAGCCCCAGGGACAACTCAGCCTAAAATACCAGTTGACATTTGTAGCCAAGTCCTTAACTGTTATGATGAAACAAGAATTAGATAAAATCAATGAAGTCCACACTTGGTGCAAGATAAGAACTACACGCAGTCCATTTCCAATTTCTTTTTTCCCTCCCGGCACAGATTTCCCAGATGGTATTTATTCCACGCCTTTTACTTGACCACATTCTTCCTGTCTCTCAATTGATTGCTTATTGGCAACTTCTTCAAAGGACAGGACAGAAGGAAAAAGACACAAAGTGTAGAGCCCATCAAACCTCACATCTAAGACTTAGCCATTTCTTAAACTCAAGATGCGGTATGGTGAGGCTGAATTTTCATTATGTGAAAATAATTTCGGGGGGAAGTGAGACTTTTGGGCAATCACATGGTTGCCTATTTTATCTGGCTTCTTATCACTAGTTTTTTTTTTTTTTTGCAGTACGCGGGCCTCTCACTGTTGTGGCCTCTCCCGTTGCGGAGCACAGGCTCCGGACGCGCAGGCCCAGCGGCCATGGCTCACAGGCCCAGCCGCTCCGCGGCACGTTATCACTAGTTTTTTATAGTTTGATTACTGAACTGTCAGTTTGGAGAATAAAGTGATCTCCTGTTTTGATAGCCTTAGCATTATCATACAGGGTTGACTCTACTTACCAGTGGAAAGCTAATGATGGGTTGAAAAGAATGAAACTTTATAACCAAAGGGAACTGTGATCTCTAATACATTAGGAAAATTCCATATAGTTTTTACTAGTATTTTATCATAACTCCTATACAGAAAGCTATTATTAAAGTATAATTACTATAATGCCTTGTTTATTACTTACCCTCTTATTTCTACTTGAGCTACAGCAGTGATGTTGATTTGCAGGCTCACAAAATTGCTGTCTGGGTTGTCCTTGTTGGAACTAAAACACAGTTGACATATGATTTAAATTTATTTTCTCAGACGTGTTACTACCATAGACGATCATAAAAAACCTTCTATATATCAGAGGAGCAACATGCATTACCAATATGATCATTTGGAAAACAAAAGTATATCCATTCTACAAAATTGTAACCATTTGTAAGTGGAAATGCTAAGATCCTCTGTGAGCAAAAGAAATGTAATAACTTTCCATGAGGAGACACCGTATCTGAAAACATAATATATTTCTAGAGAAGCCAACATGTCTTTGCTGCAATGACTAAGCCCAAAAGGCAGTAAGCTGAGTTCTTGTCCAGCTTCTACAAGGGACGCATTCCTTAACTTCTCTGTGCATCAAGTTCATTGCCCATCAAATGGGAAAGGACAGCACAGTCAACTCCTGATTTTCCATACTAATAAAAGGAGAACTGGCATGAATAATCCAAGAGCAGCACATAATAGAAAAAGTGTTTGTGTTTGGCTCTGGAATGCATCATACCATACATTGTTCTGGTAGCAAACTTATCTTCCTTATGGTTTATATCTTAAGTAATATTAAAATAAGTGTACTTTACTGCATGCTCACTGGCTGACTAGGATGAGGGGTGAGGAGTGAGGAGTGAATTAGAAGCATGGCCAGTGGAGAGAAGAAGTAAGACCCCAGGAAGAGATTAACACAGTTAGGAGATAACATATATGTTCATCAGGCACCTCAAAAATCTCAAGATAGAAGGTGCATGTTTCATAATATTTCTTTGAACAATTTGGCAAAATTATTTTTAAGTTTGCTGTTTCTTTCTCTCAAATATAATTAGATATAAAATTTAACTTTAAAAATGCATGTATTAAGCAACCAGTGCTGTAAGGAAAATAAAACATCATGTCACAAGAGCCTGGACCAGTAGCTGGGCTTTGGATGCAGCTGCCATTTGCACCCATTGTCTTACTGGGCTGTCATCGAAATCACCCTAATATTCCAAAGGATAACGCAGCTTTTAGCAAACTGGGATATGACACCACCACTAACAGGTCACGTTTATATTCAGGTCTCATTAAGAAGAGAAAGGCTCCTCTTTTTTCATCTTCAAATCTCATGCAGATGCAATGGACAAGCTCTCACACTGATGATGGTAATGGGGCATGTCCTGACTAGCTTTTGAAGCTTTCCAAATGTGGGAGCTGGAAAAGATATGATAAAGGTCTGCTTTCAAAGCAGGAGGAGACAGAATTGTTCCCACAATGCTTTTGAAAAGTGCTGTTCGATTGTATATACTGATAAGGCAACTTAAACAGCAAACACACATAAAAGACATAAACAGGCAAATGTCAGGCTCATTTCCTGCAAAGGGGTATCACTGCTAAGCTTGTGATGAGCCTAGAGGGACTTGTTCACCAAAGTTTGAACCCCAGTTTCCAGGCCACTTTATTATGATCACATCTGGGGAGGATCAGTCAACTAAAAAGTTTTTTTTTGTTTTTTTTTTTTTAAAGCAGGATTCTGACTTACTAACTACTAAGAAGTCATTAAGTAATTCCCCTCGTTACAGACTTCATGGTTCCAAGTGCATTACAGGGAGCTCTTTAGTTTGGAAGCTTAAGTCTAATTGTTCCACATTTTTACCCAGACCTTGTTCTAGTTTCTAGGTCACTACTGCTTTGCAACAGTGGAAATTAGAATTATAGAAAAAAAGTTTTATTTAAGTTATCCTATAATTCTATTGCATTTTGCTTCCAAATGGTTTAAATAATACAATTTTCATGACAATATCCTGAAAATATAAATAGATGTCAAGCATCGCAATTGTCTTGGGACAGGAGTCTAATACGAGGCTTATAGAGGCTGTTCTGAAAAGTCACAAAAGCAGTGGCAGAATCCAAGGCTAATTAAAGTCACCCTCTGTCATACAGGCTTGCCGGGGCACTTGGTACTGCAACCAGTGGTGTCAGCAAAATCTCCTGGTAAGAAAAGACACCAGGCTGGATATATAACTTAGGTGCATCTTTCACCTCTTTCCTGGAGGGAAACCTCCCTCACTAATACCACCGCTCCATTCAAACAAACAATTCATCACTGCCCTGGATGCTGAGCTATTTATACTGTCGGTGCTATAGTTCTTCTCAAAAAATGATGAATGTTCTCTCCATGACTATAGCTTATGTCGTGTACCAAGGATAAACATGTTTTTCACTTATTACGCCGATGCTATTTTCTTTCTCCTTATTGTTTCCTAGTTTCTATTTTCTGACATTCCCCCTATGCTTTCTGCAGTCTCTGGAATGTCCGCAAAAACAATACAATGTTCATTTCACCATTACTGAGGAAGCAGCTTCAAGGATGATCACAAAGATCTGTTTGTACGTGGGAATCGCAAACTGAGACCAGCTCTAAGCAGGGAGGAAGATGTTTACATGTCACATAGAGCCAGGGCATGGAGTGACCACTTAATGCGAACATTTGGTGACACAAAATACTTTAAGTTTATTAATTTTCTCTTTTGCGTTCTATTTGCGGAAAACGATATTACATGTGGGTACCGGTGGTCAATGTGCTCAAAAGCCTGAGTTCAGACTTGAGAGCATTTGGTTTAATTTATTTTTGGTTTAAGCACATTTAAACTGAATACAAACCATCCATTAAACACTTATGTACATCTTTGGAGCCCGCCAGCAAAGCGTGCAGATAAATGCTCACCACTGTATTTGAATATTAAAAGTATTCTCAAATACTTTTATCTCTAGAACTTATGTTTTGGGAATTTGATGTTTAGTATGTTGCTGTTGCCTCTCCAGTTCTTTCTACATTTCTGCATTTTTGTATTTTTCAGGAAGATGTTAAAATAGTCATGAGTTTCTATAGTGTCTGAGGATATGGAATATAATCATGGACCATTTTAGATGAAGAGTGATGTTTAAAATGCGACCATTTCTATTTTCCATCAAATTCAGCACTTCCTCTCTAAATTCATTATTTGAATGATGATCTACAGGATGGTTTTGGGGAAGGCATTTACAACATCATTTAGTGTCCTTTGCTCCTTGATTCAGCTACTAGTTACATCCATTCTATTATTCGAAACTGCAATTAAGGGTAAGAAGCAAACATCAGGAATTTGCTTTGCATCTTTGTACCAGACTTCCTATCTAAAGGCTGCAACTTTTATGAGATAGGTATCTTTTTCTGAAGTGATGCGAAGCTTCCTGCTGCTGCGGGATCGATGTTACAGACAATGATGGTGAAAAAACAGAAACTTCAGGTTACTGAAGTGTCTGGAGAGATGGTGGTCCTTCCCTGTGGAGTGCTTTTTCTTTTTCTCTTTTTTTTTTCTGAAAACTTAGAAATATAAACAGGAGATTTTCCAAATGAAAATATTTTGGACTACCTGGACCTTTTGGAAAATATACATTTATATAGATACAAAGAAGTGATTTAATGAGCTTTTGGTAAAATGAAGGGATATGATAGATGAATTCACTCCATCTGTATCCCATCACTAATTTGGGTAAAAATTTTAAAATCTCTAAGATTCAGCAGAAAATATTTAAGTTAAATTCGAAAAAGAACTGACTAAGGTCAGACAAGAACACCTAAGTTAGAAAACCTTCCTTCCTAGAAATCTATCACAAAGTTGAGAGGATATGGTTTGTGACACAGGTTGCAGATTTTTTAAATCTACTACATTCTTATAGAGATTACATATATATATTTTTAAGATTTTTAAATTATTTATTTATTTATTTAATTTTGGCTGCGTTGGGTCTTTGTTGCTGCCCGCGGGCTTTCTCTAGTTGCGGCGAGTGGGGGCTACTCTTTGTTGAGGTGCGCGGGCTTCTCATTGCAGTGGCTTCTCTTGTTTCAGAGCACGGGCTCTAGGCACACGGGCTTCAGTAGTTGTGGCTCATGGGCTCTAGAGCACAGGCTCAGGAGTTGTGGTGCACGGGCGCAGTTGCTCTGCGGCATGTGGGATCTTCATGGACCAGGGATGGCACCTGCGTCCCCTGCATTGGCAGGTGGATTCTTACCCACTGTGCCACCAAGGAAGTCCGGGATTATATATATATTTTTAAAAAAATCGTAAACCTCTAACTGAAGTAGCTATTAGAAAGTAATCCATTGTGTAAAGTAATTACTCTAAAAGTCATCACACTCTAATGACTTCACTTCTTGCAGGACAGAAGGTAAGTTTAGAGATTAGTCCTCATGCACACCAGTATTTGAGAACCAAATTGTAGGTACTGACTTCAAAGTCATCGTTATATTAGAACAAGGGTTGAACACACTGAGCATGTGCTGTCTATATCAGTGTTTTTCAAACGTTTAAAATTGCAGACCACAAATACATATGTGTGTGTGTATACGTATAAACACACACATATATATTTATATACATCCTACAGGATGTCTTATGACACACATTTACATGTATCTGAAAGGAATTTTTCATGAACTCTGATATATTCCATTCAACATCCTTTTCTTTTCATCCAGGTCTAGAGCCATTACATTGATTCCCTTACTGGCGAAAGGGTTTAAGTCCACACTTGGGAATCCCTGGCCCCCATGGCACATTGCTCTCTGTAGGTCTTTTAACTCATGAAATATTATTTTCAGCCATGCAGGAGCAAACAAAATAGACAGAGACAAGGTAAAGTCCCACTTGAATCGTGGGGCAGAGTCAGCCTTAGACAAAAGGGGCAGCTCCCTTCAGGGTTTGGCTTAGAGTTGCCAGAGAAGGTCCTGCCTTCTGAATATATGACCTTACCTGCGTCCTGCCTTGCTGCTCACAATTAAACCATCAGAGACTCATTCATCCTTGAAAAGTTAGATTTCAAGATCGCAAGCTCAAAATCTATGCTTTTTTTTTGCAGAAATTATGTTCTCAGGGATTAGCTGACCCCCAGCAGAGAGAATGGCAGGATGTGGTAGGGGTACTGGTGCGGGGTGGGAAAAGCCATGTGCATCAGAAAGAGGAAAGACGGAGGAGCGGGTGGGGTGGGATCGTGCTCAGGACAAAATTTTACTGTCACACCTTGGCCTGCAGAATGGATCTCTTCTTCAAAAGCCACACACACACACACACACACACACACACACACACACACAAAAAGAAAAGAAAAGAAAAGAAAAAGAAAAAAACCCGAAATAACTAATAACTGAGAAACAAAGGAAAAATGGTCTGTGAACGTCTGGGTTCTAATTTCAGAAGAAAGTTTAAGGTGAAGGAGCTTGATGAGGACATTCATTTCACCATGGATTCTCTTTACTACTGAATGATGATGGTATTTCAGGCATGTAAAGGTCTAACCTTCTGATTTGGAGATCGAAGTTAATGCTTATGTTTGTTTTCTCAAGTCGTGGAACTGCAAATCGGAGGCCCAGAGAGGACTAAAAAAAAAAAAAAAAAAAATCACAAGACACTAAGTTTATTACATGGAAGGAAGCTTATACATAGCATAGAAATCTTTTTAAGTCATCCCTGCAAATCCCCACCGTAGACTGCTGTCCCTTTTTCTGCTTCTACCTTGGGGTAGCTGAGACTTTGGGGCCCAGGCGATGTGAGTCCCTACACATTGCGGTTCCCTCTCTTCATTTATCCTCCTATCAGCTCTTTTCCTGCCACCTCTGTATGTGCTAAATTAAAAACAACCTAAATATACGAGAAGAGATTGATTTAGAAAACTGTGATGATTCTCTTTGATGGACAGTTATGTCATCGTTGAAATTACATCTGTGAAGCCTATGCCATGTGGAAAATGCTTCTAATGTAACTATGGTCCAAAAAGAAAAAAGGTTGCAAAGTTGTATGTGCCATGGTTTCACCTATGGTTTTAAAAGGCTACCAGTGTAAAAATTACTGTACAGGAGTGAGGGTGTCTTGTAAGAAAATCTACCAGGATAATATGCTGCAGTTAAGGTTGTGAGTATATGGATTATTTTTTCCACCTTTCTTTCTTTTCCAAAGTTTTAAAACTGTTCTTAATATTTTTATAGTTTGAAAACAGCTTTTTAAAAACCTGGAGAAAAGTGAATCCAATGATAATATAAATAAGGAAGTAAAAGTAATAGCTGAGACATGTAATTATGTTACTTAGGCTCTCATGCACTGTACTAAGCCTTATATGCAATGTCTCATGTAATCACAACATCCATACTACGAGGTATACTGTGAATGCTGACATTTTACAGTCCAGCAGCAATCTGAGGATTAGGGAGATTACGTGCCTTGTTCCAGGTGCAGAGCAAATAATCTCTAGATTTGGAACTGAGATTGCTACAAGCCAACTCCAGAACCTGGAACTCACAGCCACTACACTATGAGAATCAAACCAGCAATCAAACTCATGTTATTATGAACCAGTTATAATATGAACTAATAATAAACCATCATTTTTATCATAAATCATCATTTCACTAGCCCTTACCGAATGAGCTGCAAGCCAGGTACTGCCCTGGTGGCTTTACATATACCATATCATTGCATTGCTCCACACATTCCTACAAACAGGTATTCTCCCATCTCAGTGTGACTTGCCCAAGGTGTCACTGCTGATCAATGGAGAAACTGGGATAATAATTAGGGTGCGCCTAATTATTAAGCCTATACATCCTTATGCCCCAGCCAGGGTGAATTCCTTTATAATTCCAAATGTGCAATTTTCTGTCAGACCTCTGGGGCTTTGCACATGCTCTTCTCTCTTCTTTAGACACTTTTAAAGTCTTTTCCTGCTTTTTCTACTTGCACAACTCCTACTGATGCGTCAAAACTCAGGACAAGGGATCCTCCTGCAATACACCCTCCAAGCCCACAGGCCAGGTCAGGCAGAAATGTTCTCTTTATTCTTTGTCTCCTTTGCTACTCACCCATGACTCAACCTATAATGTTGCTAAATTTTAAGTTTCTTATGGAATGGGGATTGTACATTTTCATCTCGATATTATCAGACTCTAGTTTAGTACCAGGCATATAGAAGGGGTGTAATTAAAAATGGTGAAAAAGAGTGTGCCCTTGTTTGCACACTTCCAGTGATGGGGAGCTTACTATATTGTGGGGAGGCCTGTTTAATGTTGGTCTTTTATTATTCAGCACAAGATGAGGATACCCTAAAGGTGTGACAATTTCATACTGATAAGAGATATATGTTCTTAACTAGAACCAAAAGCCAGATCTCTGGGCATTGATTCTAAAGAGCCTTTGTTGAGCCACTGTTTTTTTTTTTTTTTATTATTATCCTACTAGAGAGACCTTGTGAATTTTTACAAATCTTATCGGTATATAAATATTTTACATTACTAAAGCTATTACATGAAAATGATGTTACTCCTTACAAATGAGAAGTAAACTTCTGAATACAACCTTGAATGCTTTGTTAAAGTAAAAAGTCACTTGAAAACTAGTTTTTAAAAAATATCAGGACTGGGATAATTAATCCTGGCAATTTGTGATGCTTTTTAATAGTTAGGACTACTTTTACAGTTGGAATTTTACTACAACCCATTAAGAGTATGTATTCTTTTAGAAGTAAAAAATGAAGAAGTAAATAAATCAAAGCATTTTATAACAAAACAGAATGCAATAAAATTTGATGTGTTTAAGGGCATTCAAGGGTGAGATAAGAAAGCTATTAGGTTTCTTCTACTATAGACCTCAGAGATAAACGAATACAAACAATTTACTTCCTTGACTTCGAAAGATTATTTGCTGGTAAAATGGATTGACATCTTTTCACAAAAACACATCTGTGGCTAAGACCACACTGCCATTTTTACCCTCCACTTTGAACAACACTGGTGTCCAGTTTTTGTTCCAAGATTATCCTTAGTTATTGATGATCTTAGATGATCTCTGGTCTGGATTTAACACTTTTAATACTGAAAAAGGAATGAGTGCCTGGTCACCTACAGATGCTAACACCATTACCACCATGTCAATTCATTTCTGTCTGGCCTGAGGTAGACCTTTTCCTATCAAATTGGGTGGCTGAATTTTTCTTGAAAACTAGTCAAAGGATTTATTAGCTTCTAGATAAAAGGATTCTAATGAAAAATGTTCTAATATCTCAGCTTAGACATCCCATTCTATCTTTCATGGCTTTGCTGAAAAATCTCATCTGTTATTCATTAGTTTTTATCCAATTTTTGCAGACCTGCTAGAACGTGGTGGGCTTTTTGTTGAGGCCTGGTTCGAATCCTGGTTTCTGTTCTTCATTATGTGAGACTTTGGGTAACTCATCTGACTTCTCTGAGTCTCAGTTTCCTCATCCATAACACAGGAGAAATACCTGACTCATAGGATTGTTGGTAGTTGTGAAAATTAAATGAGATAACACACACAAAACACCCAGTGATGGAATTATAACACAGAGGGCAATCAATACATGTTAGTTAATAAAAATCTATTATAAACATTTACCTTTCATTTAAATATTTACTTTGTTGACCCAAGAAGTGAGTTTACTAGACTACAGCTTGGCATATCTTTTAAATACTCAGGATGAACGGAATGATAATCAATTTAGAATATAAAAAGGCAAACATATTACTTTAGCACAATATCCTAGATTATAAACTGGGAATAGGTGTTACTGGATAGAAAGTTTCAAAGGCTCAAATAAATATGAGAAACACTGGGCTAGAAGGTTTCCTTCCTGCAGAACTTCTCAGAACCTTTAAAATGGAACAGGCACCTGAATGTCCCAGGGGAGGATGTGATTCTCAGCAGTGACTCTAGGGCTCCCTTTTAAAGGCTTGCCTCAAAGGATTAACACTCTTTGGAAGACGCTTTGGGAAGCTGTTCTAATACAAACGTACACACTCACACATTTCCAGGAAGGTTTTTTCAAACAGGCCATTTCATTATCAATGAATCATAAGCATCTAATTTAAAACAGAGGAATACATATATTTAATTTGTAACAATTACGTAGTATTTGCAGATTTCAGGGTTTTTTTCCTGATTTATGACTCCATAAAATAATGATTTCTACTGTGATATTTATTACAAGGAGTTACTCTGTGTATACTTAAACTGCAATGGCATAAAATGAATTTATTGACCACAAGTAATCCTGAATGGGAAGTTCCTAAATCTGGAAACAAAGAAAGAAAAAGAAGATTCCTTATTCTTTCATAAGCCTGTTACAGATCATGATTGATCCTTTCTTTTTTCTTGCTATAAACAATTTTCTGCATTATTCTTTATCAAGTAAGATGCATGGAAAATACAGACCTGGTAAAGCTGTTTTCAAACCTGGATTATGGTAATATTTTAACAGGAAAACACTGTGAATGATATTCACATGGGAGGTATATCTAAAGTAAAAGTTTAATCATCTTTGCTAAAATTCTTAATTCTGTTATTTCTTAAATCCTTTACATCGTAGTTCTTGGATTCAAAGAAAAAATACTCGAGAAAAAAATCTGTAGTAAAAAAAATAGTTTTTAGAGATTTGTTGAGACTGAAGACATGTAAGACTGATGTCAAAAGAAAAGGCATATGGGCTTCCCTGGTGGCGCAGTGGTTGAGAGTCCGCCTGCCGATGCAGGGAACACGGGTTCGTGCCCCGGTCCGGGAAGATCCCACATGCCGCGGAGCGGCTGGGCCCGTGAGCCATGGCCACTGAGCCCGCGCGTCCGGAGCCTGTGCTCCGCAACGGGAGAGGCCACAACAGTGAGAGGCCCGCGTACCACAAAAAAAAAAAAAAAGGCATATGAAAGTTTCATCATTTTGTGTATTTTAGCTCAGATTGTCCACTCCGTGTGGGGTTGTGATGCAAAATCCCACCACCCTGGGAATTTCCTGCCTAATTGGTTTTAGTTGCCAGGTGCTAAATTGCTGAGTGCTAATGGAGCGGGGGGGGGGGGGGGGGGCGGTTTCCACTAGTTCTCTTCAAATTCAATTAGACAGAAATCAGTTAAGTGCATCTGGTTTTCTCTTACGTTTGTTCCAGCCACCATAGGGTTCCCAAGGTCACACACCACCATTCGGGTGACATTGTCCATCTTGTACTCACAGCTCAGTGGTCGCAGTGCCTGCAACGGGAAAGAACACCAGTGTGGAGTCAGGGGCAGAATAAACAACATCCTGTCGCAAAAGCAATGCTGTGGGCCAGGCAGCTTCTCTTGATTTCAAACACCTGTGTGAGTGCCTGAGCCCAAGGGTTCATGTGTGACCATCAACTCAAAAGAGAAGCTCGTGAGAAAAGACCAAAGTTTAATTTTAAGAAGAGACGTGTTGGATGGGTAAACACATTTGTTGTGTTTCATTGAGAAAGAAAATGCTTAGTAGAACATGTGTGTGTGTGTGTGTGTGTGTATACACACACACACACATTTTTTTTTTTTCTTTTTTCCTTTTTGGCCGCTCCGTGTGGCATGTGGAAGCTTAGTTCCCTGACCAGGGATTGAACCTGCACCCCCTGTGGTGGAAGCGCTGAGTCTTAACCGCTGGACCGCCAGGGAAGTCCCTGAAAATGCTTAGTAGACTGTTTATATGAACTTTTTTTCTTTTTTGTGGTACGCGGGCCTCTCACTGTTGTGGCCTCCCCCGCTGCGGAGCCCAGGCTCCGGACACGCAGGCTCAGCGGCCATGGCTCACGGGACCAGCCGCTCCGCGGCATATGGCATCCTCCCGGACCGGGACACGAACCCGCGTCCCCTGCATCGGCAGGCAGACTCTCAACCACTGTGCCACCAGGGAAGCCCTGAACATTTTTGAAGTGATTTGCACTACTGTTCATGTTCAATTTGGGCCATGAAGATCATGGATAATTAAACATAACTAAACAAATTAATTTTTGCAAACATGAAATGACAGCAAGATGTATATTATAGATTATCCTACCCTATCCAACCCAGTGACCATTTGCAAGAGAATTGCTTTGGACACAAATTTCTCCATACCATGGTTCCATTTTGAGATTACACACCCAATCTTAGTTCAATCCTATAAATACTTAAGATGGAAAGAGAACACTTTTTTATGCTTACCCACTGCTTTTCACCTCCTGTCTTGCCCCATATCCTGTTCTGATTAGAATGTATAAAAACTCAAGTTTGAAGAGGCACTTAGAACTATGTGCTGGAGAAGGTCTCACGGTTACAGCCGACGGGCTTATTTTACTCAGCCTAATGTCCTTAAGGGTCATCCATGTTGTAGTATGTGGCACAATTTCCTTCCTTAAGGCTGAATAATATTCCATTGTATGTGTGTACTGTATATTGTTCATCTGTTCACCCACTGATGGCCATTTGGGTTGTTTCCACCTCTTGGCTATTGTGAATAGTCCTGCTATGAAAATGGATGTGCAGATATCAGTTGAGATGCTGATTTTATTTCCTTTGTATATACACACAGAAGTGGCATTGCTGGATCATATGATAGTTCTTTTTTGAAGTTTTTGAGGATGATGTCATTTTTAAGGGGAAAATTTGGGGAGACTATTGTTTTGCTGATTGTATGAGGTGGTGTTAGTATTTCTTATTGGGCCCCAGTTCTTGAAAACTGCTTTGTTTAACTGGGCACCTGAGCATCTGATAGCTCAGGACTAATTTTTTGATTATTGTTCATTCATTTTGGAGATTTCTCTGAGGTTCAAAGAATAATTTTAGGAGATGATCTGGATCTTAAACTGCATTTTTTGAGTCCATTGCCAAAGCCTGTTATTTGTACCATAATGGCAATTTAGTACACGAGGGAAAATAAGGGTTATATTTATTGCAGCATTTGTGTTTGTGTTTAAAATATTGTTTATTTTAGCAAGAACAAGATTGTGATTCAACACTGGTTTCAGTTTAGTGGAAAAAACTGAGATTGTGGTGTTTTGCTTTCTAGTCTTCTGTCCTATGTTTATGTGAAAAACAAATGAAACGAAAACAGTGAAATCTAGTGGAAAAGGAGTTATTAACCTATGTTTGTGTTATTATAAATGTTCCTGTGTTTAAATTAATGGATCTTTACAGTGGAATATTATGCCAGAATTACAAAGGATGTGTTATATCTATGAGTGTTGATCTGGAATGATAGTCTATGAAACGTAGACGTAGAGATGGAGGTGTGTATGTGTGGGTAGAGAAAATAGTCTGCAAGGATATATAAACTGAGTGGAGAAAAAGTTATTTCTATGTGGTAGCATTAAAAAAAAAAAAGTTACACCCAACGGAGGGGAAAGTAAAGGAGGTTTATCTTTGGACTCCTGTCCTCTGGTCACAGCTCTCCCTTATGTCTTCAGGCTAGAAATCCACATCTGGATCTCCACCCTGAGCCCCTTTCCATCTTTCAAAACCCAATGTCCCTATGGCCCTGCTCTTGCCTTTGGTAATAGCTACATATGTTCATCCGTTATTTCACTCTAACTTGTTAAGTGCTACTGATATATTACCTGTCAGCCTCATTCCTAAAGATAAGCTTGCAAACTGAGGACTTTCACAAAGGACCCCATGAGAGGACCATGGAAGAGGGTTCCAAATACGAGGACCACTTATCCGTCTGTCAGCTCTATCGAAATTTCATTTAAGGAAGTAATGTGAATTTTCAAGGATAAGTTTCAGAAACCACCTCCTTTCCGTTCTTTCCACATGGTTGAGAAAAACCAAGAGCCAAAACCAAAACAAAGAAAAGGCAAACAAACCCCAGATACCTAAGTCAAGAGCTCTGTGGGTAAATCATACGCTTTAAGAAAATAAGCTTAAGCAGGCAGGGCTTTTTTGTATCTGTTCTCTTCGCGGTGCCTAGAAAAATGTCTAGCACAAAGTAGTAGACGGTGTCAGGAGATACACAGCAAACGTAGCTCCCAATCTTTCCTACAAGGAGCCTGAAATGAAATGGACAAGCACACAGCTGAGTATAAAGCCCTCTTCCTGCCATCAGCCATTGAAAGGTGTGTTTTAACTCATGAGAAAGAAATGAAATCTCTGATATTCAGAGGCAGCATTTAATACCTGCTCTTTCCAAATAACCCGAGTGACATGTTAGTATCCTAAGGAGGTAAGAAACATATTTTCCAAAAGCTGATAATATTTTTGCTTCTCAAAGGTAGCTTTAGCATGCATTCAAGTTCTGAGGGATCCATAACTAACCCTAATTGTACAGAGATGTTTTGTGTTGGGATTACTAACTCAATCCTGAAAACGGGAAAAAAAAAAAAAAGAACTCAGCAAAAGCTTTCCAAAATACCCACGTGTCCCTTGAATATAATTCAAGGATTTGGTTTCTATAGTAAATATTTTTATCTTATCTGAAGGTTGAAAGTCATATGTACGTTTTTTTCCCTGGCTTTCTAGAAATAGCTTTTTCACATCAATCAGAGATCTTTTCTCTCCCCAGATTCCCTACCCTTTTTCTTTTTTTAACCTTTATTTCCTTTCTCTGAGTGGGAGAAACAATGATTGTTTTTATAGGTATTTCTAGATTATTTTCCTCAGCTGTTCCTGGGACTATCTTGTTCTCATCCATTTATAGCTCTTAGAGTCTTATTCATTCACTGAAAATATTTACTGTGTACCTGCCACTTACCAGGCACTGATCAAAAAAAAAAAAAAAAAAAAAACACCCTTGTCCCCCTTAAATGTCCTATTATTATAAGAATCATAATAAGGAATCACAAGCAATTGTAACAAGCACTGGAAACACACAATTAGTACAGTTTGTTAAGTTTCATGAGAGCAGAAATTCACAGTGATGGAGGAGGACAGGCACATAGAAGTAAGCAATCAGAGAAGACATCCTGGAGGAAGTGACATAACCTCATAGGGGGCCTGGCAGCTCAGTGGTTAAGAAGACGGGCCTGGACCTGACAGCTGAGGTGTCAATCTTGGTTCTGCTACGTAATAGCTGTGTAACTTTGGGCATGTTTCTGAATTTTCCTTATCTATACAACGGGGATAATGACAACCTTACCGTTTCTCTATCAGGCTGTTATGAGGACTAAGTAAATTGAATACTTGCAAGAGCACAGAGCAGAGCCCAGCTCATAGCAATTGCTCAGTGAATTTCAGCAGCCTCAGTCGTTATTAGGCTGAGGCCTGAAGGTGAGTAGTAAGAAGTAAGCTGGGGAAAGGGGATGAGAGAGTAGAGTTACAGAGGGAACAGCAGGTGCGAGCTCTCTGTGGCGGGAGGGTGCATAGGTATTACAGAAACAGAAAAGAAATTCCATCCCTCTAGGACTAGGGTGGGAGGTAAAGGAAAGAAGCAAAGACTCATGATGAAGCTGAGGAGGTCAGCAGGGGTGATGTAATTAAGGGCCTCATAAGTCATCTCAGGGCTTTGTAGGACTTTATCCTACAAGCAATGGGGAGCTAGTGAGGGTTTTCAGCCAGAGAGTGACAGAGTCAGATTTGCATTTTAGAAAGAGGGCTTCCCAGGGCTTCCCTGGTGGTGCAGTGGTTAGGAATCCGCCTGCCAATGCAGGGGACACAGATTTGATCCCTGGTCCAGGAAGATCCCACATGGCATGGAGCAACTAAGCCCGTGAGCCACAACTACTGAGCTCGCGTGCCACAACTACTGAGCTCGCGTGCCACAACTACTGAAGCCCACACGCCTCGAGCCCGTGCTCTGCAGCAAAAGAAGCCACTGCAGCAAGAAGCCCGTGCACCACAACGAAGAGTAGCCCCTGCTCACCACAACTAGAGAAAGCCCAGCAACGAAGACCCAACACAGCCAAAAAAAGAAAGAAAGAAAGAGAGCTTCCCATGCAGGGAAGGGGCTGGAGGCTGGGAGATGGGGAGATGAGTTAGGAGACTGGTGTAGCCATCTCGGGAGAAGATTGTGCCAGCCTGGAGGAAGGCAGTGACCATGGCAGTGAGATGGAGAGAGGATAGGGTTGGACAGGTGTAGGACTGACTTAGGCTTTAGAAACTGGGTGGAGACTGGCGCGATTCTCTGAGACAGGCTAGAGAGAGGAGGAGTGTGGGAAGATGACGTCTAGTTCCAGACGCACTGCATGTGAGGTAGTTTGAGACAGAGGAGTGGAGCATGTATGAGGTCCCTTGAATAGACACATTCATAGTGACAGAATGTGGAACACTGGGTACCAGAGGCTGGGGAAAGTGGGCAAGAGGGAGTTGGTGTTTCATGGGTACAGAGTTTCAGTGTGGGATGATGAAAGTGTTCTGGAGATGGACGGTAGTGATGGTTACACAGCAATGTGATTATACTTCATGGCACTGAACTGTACACCTCAAAAGGGTTAACATGGTACATTTTATGTTACATATAGTTTACAACAATAATAATAAAAAGATAGAGCACATGGGCCTTTATTCCTAGAAAAATTTAGAAGGTCACCGAAAAGAATTGTAAAGGCTGTGGCTCCGTTAAGGTCTCCAGAGAAAGAGATGATCAGCTTCTACATTTTCGAAAAGATGAATGTTTTTAGCCAAAGAACAACAAAACTGACAATCAGATAATCCCTCATACTTTTCCCCTTGAGAGAAAATTGTTAAAAAAAAACTTGAACCAAGTATAAATAAAAAGAGACACAAACTTCAAACTGCTTAACAACAAAGAAGGAATTAGAATGTGGCTTAGTCATGTCAAACCAAATTCTGCCCAAGGGAATCTGATGGAGGAAAAACAGTTAAAGACTCATTGGAAATTATAGATAATGTCTGTTATAATGTTTAAAGCCAAAGATAGAAATGATAAATGTTTCCTGTATTTTCCACCCAACAGTGAACAGTAAACTAGATGTTTTGTTAAAAGAAGAATATTTTGAATAGATGCTTTGTTTAACAAAGTCAGGGGTGCAGTGACAGAAAGGGAGTTGAAATAAAAATATAGGAAGAGGGCTTCCCTGGTGGCGCAGTGGTTGAGAGTCCGCCTGCCGATGCAGAGGATGCGGGTTCGTGCCCCGGTCCGGGAAGATCCCACATGCCGCGGAGCGGCTGGGCCCGTGAGCCATGGCCGCTGAGCCTGCGCGTCCGGAGCCTGTGCTCCGCAACGGGAGAGGCCACAACAGTGAGAGGCCCGCGTACCGCAAAAAAAAAAAAAACAAAATATAGGAAGAGCCCTGGAAGATTTTTTAAAATAACATACTTGAGCTTCATTGTTTGTTTGTTTATGTATTATTTGCATGTAATTATTCTTAAGTGATATGTTCCTACAAATTTCTTCAACAGAAACTCGTGATGATTTTACAACTGTCAAAGATACTTGATTATTGCTCCTCTGGGTTATTTTTTCACTGAGAAGATAATTCAGTCAAAACATAAGTCATGAGACTAGAGGTGTGCACAGAGAATTTTGTATTCCCCACATTTGTAACTGCCTTTCAAATACTGACATCACAACCGTTGTTAGCATTTCTTTAGAGGAATTATTTTTCATTAAATTATTTGATCATTAGAATATGCACATTCCCAAGAGGATGCAGTTTTTGGAAAGTAGCAGAACTTTCATAAACTTCAGTTAAATGAACATATCCATCAGCAAGAATTTAAATAACACTCATCATGCCGACTTCTACGTGAAGTGCAGGGATGACTATAAAAGTGTGAAACTTGGTCTCTGCCCTTAATTGTGAGTCTGTGTACCTCTGAAACCAAGGGACTCTCTCTGTTATCCTTCAGTGTATTTATAATGGTTTTAGAGCGGAACCTGAGGATATTCTGAGTGGGAAGATTCATACTGTGATAAGGAAAGGAAATCTATAAAAAGCATTGCTGTCAGTTTAACAAATACTGGCATTGCAGGACTGGCAAATGACAAAAACCTGGCTTTTTCTTGGTCCCGGTCCCGAAAAGGTGGACCAAGAAGAAAGAAAACATGAACGTGTTTCTTTTCCAGTGCCTGTCTAGGCTGTTTTCAGTGCTCAGCTGGGATTGGTCAGACCTTCCTCCATAAGCAGTAATGAAAACCAGACCTCCTGGGACCTGCTTGAAGCATAAAGGAACTCAAAGACCAGAAAACAGCCAGGGAGGGTGGGAGTTAGCTTGGGGAGTGTAGCAGATGGATCACATTGATGAGCTGTTTCTTTCAGACAGCTGTCTTCCGTGTTTCAGCTCCCAATCTTGGGCCAGTTTATCTTTGCACCGTGGCCAAGAAAGATATTAATACTGCTTAAGACCATCTTCCTTCCTGGGCCGTTGCTATTCTGCTTAACAAAATAAGGTGCCATTTTGTTTTCTTTTATTGAGGAAGAAATCCTCAGCTAAGATGACTTAACATGGATTTGTCTTCAAAAATATACTGAGCTCTTTCCTCCTCCAGATCACCTATAGGCATTACCTTGTTGCTGCGTTCAATCCCAACATAATCAGCCTCTTCTGGAATTATCACAAAGAGCTCGGCTTCGTAGGCACCTTCCCCTTCATTTCTCGCGTTGATTATGAGCATAAGGTGGTTTTCATCTCCAATGATGACCTGATGCTTATCTCTAAAAATGCAGTTTAAAAAGAATCATTAGGTACTATGCATCTCTGGATTCATGGATATTTTATTTAAGGACTTAGAAGAAGATGTAAACATGCAAGACTGGGGAAAAAAAACAAGATGGATCGTCATGAGGGGGTGGTGAGAAGAATCAAAACTATGTCTGGATGAGAAGGACAGGAAAACATCCAGGGGTGTTCTGGTAAATATTTAACAACCAGCGCTTCAAACTAGTGGTTACCAGTGGAGGAGGGGGCAACATCGGGGGCGGGGGGAGGTACAAACCACTGGGTCTGAGACAGGCTCACGGATGTATGTACAACTCAGGGAATAGAGCCCCTACTTTGGAATAACTGTAAATGGAAAGTAACGTTTAAAAACTGTATAATAGGGCTTCCCTGGTGGTGCAGTGGTTAAGAATCTGCCTGCCAATGCAGGGGACACGGGTTTGAGCCCTGGTCCGGGAAGATCCCACATGCTGTGGAGCAGCTAAGCCTGTGTGCCACAACTACTGAGCCTGCACTCTGGAGCCCGTGAGCCACAACCACTGAACCCGTGTGCCACAACTACTGAAGCCCGTGCACCTAGAGCCCGTGCTCCGCAACAAGAGAAGCCACCGCAATGAGAAGCCCACGCACCGCGACGAAGAGTAGTCCCCACTCGCCGCAATTAGAGAAAACCCGTGCGCAGCAACGAAGACCCAACGCAGCCCGAAATAAATTTATTTATTTATTAAAAAAAAACCCTGTATAATAAATAAAGTAACAACCAGTTCTCAAAAACAAAAGGAAACAAAGAAAACCAGGATGTGTAGCATTTGCCGATTCCAGTGGTGTAAATCCTCCCACTGTGATCCATTTCAAGCTCCCAACATACTTAACGATCTGCCAGGAAAAATTCCCGAAAAGTTAACAATTGGCTCAGAAGCCAGGAGGAGACGGCTTCAGCACATCCCATAGGAGGAAGATGGGCAATGGGAAGAGAGGGAGAGAAGTGGTTTAGAAAGTAGGAGGGGAAGCTGAGTGTGACGCAAAGTGGAAAATAAGAGGGAAGAAAGAGGCAGATAAAGGAAGATCTCAAATAGCTGATTGTGAGGTATTCTGAGGACATTTAATTCACTCCAGACCTCAAATTGAAACAGCATTTGGAAATGCCTACTTGGGACCCTTAATCAAAGCTATTGCTTCGGACACTGGCTAGATTATGAAGTTTGGAAAAAGTCCCCTTGAGAGGTTACCAAGAAGCTTCCAAACACTGGCAGCAAGATGGTTCCTGGGGTGGGGATGGGTTGAGGCAGGTAGAGAGGAGAGCAACCGGAACCACCAGAGATGAGTTAACCTCAGACAGAAACATTCCCCCCACTTTTGGTGAAGGATGGAACGGCTCAGGCAAAGTCTTGGGGGGTGTCAGTTGACACCAATGACAAAGACCTAAGCCACAGGCTAACCCAAAGTGTAGCCAAGCTCAGAAATTTCACGCAGTGCACTTATTTTGGTAGTGGTTGGAAGTGTATACTTTCTCCAGAGAAGCTTTAAGTAAACACCTGTATGCCATTAGGTAAAATGGACAAGTTTATTTATTTAAACTTACGGTCTAGCTGACAGCTGCAAGTCAGGAATGCACATGTTATCTTCTCCACAGTCAACCAGGATGTGAGCCTGTGTTGTGGAAAAACATGTATCAGGAAGAATCTGGGAAAACCTGAATCCCATCCTTTCTCTTGAAAATTATGAATGATCCCACAAGTTAAACCAAAGCTTCCCTTTCACTCTGCATGAGTCCACCTAGCTAGAAACTCTGTTCGGCAGTGACCTCCCCTTATGGGCTAGTTTACTTAGGAGCCCGATTCCAATTCATTCTGAAATGTCTGTAAAGGATGCTACTCTGGCCGATGTTTTGAGGATTACAGGCTGTATTGCTTCTGTTACAGCCACATTTTGAACAAATTAAATCTTGGTTCCACAAGAGGAAGGGCTTCTGAAAACACAGGGATGCAGTGTTTCAGGAAACATGTTCAGAGAAACCTCCCAAATGTTACAAGTGTGTATGCAGGAATGAAAACAAAAGGGCCTGGATTTCATCTTAAGGTCACAGGAGCAATGCCCAGGGCCTGACTGAGAAAATACCATCAAAGACGGGCCAGGACCTACCTGTTCGGTAACAACGTTTTCCCTGTAGTAATTCAATATTGGTTTCACCTCCAGACCTTCTTTAAAGGTGGATTCATCCAAACTGTAATTCAAACTAATGTTGATTGGAGACAATTTATCTCGGAATTCAGTTTCATCCTAGGGAAAATAATCACAAACTCAAGAAAGGCCCTGTAAAATGGCTGCAAGATGTTAGTTGGTGAAAGGCAGGCAGCATTTGCCTCTGGCCATTAAAAGTGAACGATGAAGTAATTACCACCCCAGCGGGCCTAGGCACATGCTGTGGACGTGGCATAGAGAAGCCAGTTTAATGAACGTATGTTCAGAGTTGGAATCATTTAGGCTTCGTTGAAATACATGCTTCTAGAAGCAAAATCTTCAGGTTCTCCAGATCTTCAGCAACTCACACGGATTGGTCAAATTGCACAGTTAAAAATCAGTTGCACAGTAAACGTCACTGAAAGTTTCATGAACTGGGATTTTTATTTTAATGAGGTTGGCAGAATTTGTAAGTCCCCTTGGGCTCAGAGGAAGAAAACCTCTCGATTCTCTTCCTTTCTTATCATCTCTTTAAGTCCTTGTTTGCATGAACTTCAAAACACCTTCAGCACATATAAAGTTCCCTTAGAAAAAGCACCAGAACCTTCCTGGGGAGGGAGGGGGTAGTACCAGTAGCAAGGTCTGGACTCACAGGAACTCCCAAACCATGGAGTGGGCATGCCGCCCTTCAGCCGGGTGCCAGTATCAGTCATAATGAGACACAAGGGTCGTGCACCAGCTTTTCATTCTAGGATGTGTTTGTAAACTCTGCTTTCTACAGGTTTTCCCCTTACTATATCCCCTCAAAGAGGAGACCAAATGAAAAGAGGCTTCACAACCTCATCACCGGTAAGAAGATGAAATAACTGTATCATAACGCATTTTGGCTTTCTATATCATGGTAGGTTTAGGAGTTATTGTAAAAGTACATTGCTTTAAAAATGTAATTATAATTTACTTTTAATAAAGCCTCTGAATGCCTCACCCTTTTCCTAAGTTGGCTCAGAAACGCACATTGATAAAATCTGGCCAAACATCCTCACGTAGCATAAAAATTCAAATAAGTTGTGTCTAACTTTTATGTTTTTTGCGGGGAGGCAGTTAGAAATGAAAACCACCTGAGTTAGTACTAGGACTAAAGAGTGTATTCAAAACAAGAAGAAGCTTAGGAGCAGAAACTCGCACAACATTGTAAATCAACTAAACTCTAATAACAATTAAAAGAAAAAAAGAAGCAGCTTAGGAATTACAAGCAATACATCATTAGGTTGGCTGAAGTCAGGCTCAACAGAGGAGTGTGTGGCCTTAAAGATTTCTCCTATAAAGTGAAAATAGATGTGGGTCTGTGTGAACCACTGTGATGTTTAAATGGAGAAAAATGGTTGGAATTTGGACTTCAATGTTAGAGGCCAGAAAGGTGATTCTGGAACACTTACTCGAAGGTAAACGATAAAATCCTGGCATTGGAGGGATTTCTGCCTCTTTATCACAAGAGGGAAGACGAGATGTGACTGATGGTTTTCAAGGAAGAGCG